GACTACTGACTTTGAAAAAGTTAGTGTCAGGCTAGATGACAGACTTAAAAAAAAGGGAAAAAATAACCTTGACATACTTGGAAAATCAAATGAACAGTAGCGGCAGATGCTAATTGATTTGGGACAGAGAGCAGAATGATCTTTGGAAATAAGAAATGTCAACAATAAGAAATGCTGTGTCAGGAACTCAGGGCAAACAAAAGATGCCTTCAGGCCTCTCAATTTCTCCTAGCAAATTGTCTTCTAGAAATTAAACAGCTGAAAAGACATAGTGGCAGACATCTATTATACACCTCATTTATTACACAAGCAAATAACCACTTAGGGGAAGAAGTCTTCTTTACCAATAAAGAAATGACAGATTAGCAGTGGGGACTCACTCTGTCTTGGAGAGTAAAGAGCACATTTGGCTCAACAGGATTACTTTCAGGAAACCAAGGTAAATGTCAAGAGTTCCAGCTTACTTCAAATGTATCTAACGGAGGCCCTTGAATCTGGTCCAGAGGAGAAATAACTGCCAAGGAGAATGCTCGTCTCTTAGCTCTCCTCATTCCCATCCATATTCCCCGCTAGAAAATCCTGATGTAATCCATGCACTGTATGCTAACATGCCTCAGGAAAATCCAATAGCTACTCCTAGCTTGCAAAAATCATTCCAAACACTGCATCTTAGCAATTAAGCACTCTTTGCTTACTGCATTTTGCTTGTACTCCCATCACAGTACTTAGTACCATGTGCTTAATATCATAATCATTTTTTGAGATTAATTTCCCCATCACATTGCGAACGGCTTTAAAAAAAAGCTTATTTTAATCAACAACTTCTCACATCAAAGGAAACAAAATGTGTTGAGAATCTATTGTCTGTCACTATGGTATTCATTAACTCCATTCGCCAAATATTTCTGGTTCTCTACCTTTCTAGGCACAGGGTAGCACGGCATTTCCTCATCCCCTTATAGTTGGTTGAGGACTGGTGACTAATTCTAGTCAATGAGTTACGAATGGAAAGGATACATGTCACCTCCTGGTAAAAAACATTTAATGGATGACACAATACCATCCAGATTCTCTTTTCCCTGTTTTGGTGGCTGGCCACATTCACAGCAGTGACTATTTCACCACCTTGTATCCAAAGTAATTACGATGAGCTGAGCACCCCTCCTGTAAACTGATGATAGACATACTGCATGAGCAAGAAATAAAATCTTGTCTTTCTAAGTCACTCGTATTTGGGGTTGTTACTTCAGAAGATCCTAACTGATTGATAAGTGTGCCATCACAAATATTTTTGCATGTATAATTTGATGTTTACAATAACCTACAGATATAAAAGATATGAGCAATATTTTATAAATGTACTTTACAGAAATAAATAATAAATAATTATGTATTATTTACTCATTATTTAATAAATAAGTAATCAGCCCAAGGCCAAGTAGTTTTATCCATTCCTTCATTCAATAAATATCTACTGAGCGCTGCTCTGTGCCAGGCTATGTTCTAAGGAGCCAAGATAAAGTAGTGAATGAAGAGGAAAAGGTCTCTGCTCTCATAGCTTACATTCTACCAGAGACATTTTTTTAAACTTCACATACAAATAATAAAAACCTCAGACAGTGATAAGCGATATTTAGAGAATTAAAATCCAGTGATAGGACAGAAAAACGGGTGGCTAATTATATTAATCAGAGAAAGCCTCTCTGAACTGATTATTTTTAGGCTGAGATATGACAAGCAACAGCCAGTTGTGCAGATATCAAAAAAGGAGCAACAGCCTATGCAAAGGTCCTAGGGCAGAACAAGATTGTCGAATAGATAAAGTGTTAAAAGTCAGGGTGGCCACCTCACAATAGACAAAAATGGAAAGCGTACAAGAAAAAGCCAGAGAGGTAGAAAGGAGAAAAGCCATATAAGTTTTATATCGAAATAAGGAGTATGAATTTGATTTTCTGGGCAATGGGACCCACCATGAGAGTTTTAATCAGATGTGTTTGATTTCTGCTTTAAAGAGTTTGTTCTAGCTGCATGTGAAAAGTGGACTGGTACAGAAAGTTCAATGTGGTGACTACTACAGGAGTCTACAGGGTATGGACAGGAGACAGATGTAGGACAGGGTGTGGAGAGTAGAGTCAGCGAGACTGGTGTGTGGCCTGAAAGTGGAGGGGCATCAGAAGGATAAGAGTCGAACAGAACTTGGCTCAAATAACTGGGTAGATGGTGCTTTTATTTGCTGAGAGGGAGAAAAGTGGAAGAGGAGGAGGTTTGCAGAGGTGGAAGAAAATCGATAATTTTATCTTATACATGGTAACATAAGATGCCTATAAAATATCTATGTGTAGATGTCAAGTTGAATATATGATTAAGCTCAGGAGAAAGATTAAAACTGCATAGAAATTTAGGGGTTACTGATATTGAGTGTCGTTAAAGTCCTAAAATAGAATGAAGGCATCTGAAAAGAATATAGAGATGAACAGGAGAAAAGAATCCATGGCAGATTCTCCAACCTTTAAAATGTCAGCAGGGGAAGAAGAACTGCTGAGGATACTGGGCAGAAATGGAGATATCAGGAAAATCAGGAAATATGATATCTCAAGAGTCGAGAAAAGAATGTATTTCAAAGAAAGGCATGGTCAGCTCTGCTCAATGCTCTGAAAAGTCACAGAAGAACGTGAGATTTAGCAAAATAGAGTTCATGGCTGACCTTGACAAATGTAGTCTTTGTGGAATGGTGAGGATGGAAGCCTTACCAGAGAGTTTGGGGAGGGTATGAGCTGAGTATGTATCAACGATGACAACAACAGGAGACAAATTAATTAAGAATTTTCCTGTGTGAATAGAAGCAGAAAAATGGGACGGTGGCTAGGAAGAGATCTGGGATCAAAGAAAGATTTTTCATAAAAAAAAAAAAAAAAAAAAAAAAAGAAAGAAAGAAAAAAAAAGGATCTTACTCCCTTACTCCCAATTCTATGACCAATGAAACACAAAGCCTTCACCAAGACCTCCGCCTGAGGTTTCGACACCCTATACACACGTGTTCTATTTACGTTGTTCGCCATGTTAACCTGCCTTCCATTGGAGTGGGGAGGGGGGGTCTCCCTTAGCACTCAGGGTGGGTATTCATTGCTGAAGGTTTGAGGGTCGTGAGGAAAAACCGCATTACATACTGCAGAGCAAAACGCAAACAACAACGAACCTCACATTAAATATTCCAAGCCTTAAAGGTCCTTTCAGTTACCCTTCTTCCACTGCTTGGTCTTCCCTGGCCCTCTGTCCTCCAGAGCACCAAGCCCTCTGCTCTCCTTCTGGTTCCTCGCTCTCCTCCCTCTTGTTTTGCTTTCTTTTGTTCTAACTTTTCCGTTCCCTCTCAGACGAAATGCATACACACAAAGCAAAAGGTCTCTCTGTGTGTGTATGGGTGTGTGTACTTTCCTGCAGAACTGCAGTCTTTCTGGAGGTGGTGAGAGGAGTGGTCTTCTACTCCAAACAACACAGTTTCCTTTCAAAAAGTAATTCTAAAGCCAGTTCTTAATATAATACATTTTCCATCTTGTCTCATATATAAACCACCAGGCACAGCATCTGTCCTTACTAGGCTTTCAACAAGAACCAGGTCTTGCCTTCCTCCCTCAGTGAGAAAATGAATGCAGACGTGGTATTCTGATATAACTTCAACAAGTCCTTTCCACACAACGGGGCCTTCACTAAGGTCTACTGAGCTGCATGATACGACACTGCTGTGTTGGGAGGATATTCACTGGCTCCTTCTTATCTTAAGGTTAAAATAAGGCAAGACATTGATTTACTATTGAGAACAGAGAAATAGTCACAACATCACAGATTTGGGGGTTGTGTTTGTTTGTAGGTCCTAAATGTTTAGATCTCAGTATGCTATGTTTATGCAGTCTTTCTTTTTTCTCTAGGAACTTTAGTTACAATATATAAAAGGTAAATGAGATTTGGCCTTCTGTGGCCACTAAAAACCTATATCAATCTGAGATCACCAGCCCCTCAATTGAAGAAAAGTAACATAAAAATCCAACAATCCATGGCAAAGGTATTTGAACATACAAACATGCTTCTCTAACTTTTGCAAATTTCGGCCCTTCTAAAAAGGTCACTCAGAATAAAATACATTAAGAGTGGCATTCCATTCTGAGTGAAGAATCAAGTTTTTAGACGCCAATGTTACCAGAATAAAGAAAAAGATGCAGGAGTTAGTAAAAAGTACAACATGACTAACATCCTGTATTCGAGGGCCCTTTCCTCATTGGATTCAAATTGGTCGTTTAAAGACATTTGGCCAAGAGAAGAAAGACTCAGAATCTTCTGCCACCTTTAACCAATTTACTGTTCATGTGTCCATATACATAACTGAAAGTATAGTGAAGCTCAAAGCAAATGGCCCACAAAGCCAGCATTGCTCACACAAAGGCACCACCCACAGTCTCTGGAGTCCCAGTTTAGGACAGAAAGCCCAGTGACATAAGAAGAAGAGAAGGGAAACTAACAATTAGAATATAATCAAGAGTCTTGACTGGTTCCCATATGCCCAATCCCTGCCCTGCCCATCGGGTACTCCTGCTTCCCCTTTAAATTTAAACTCTGTCTTTCCTAATAGGAGCAAAGTACATTTTCTTTTATACAAAGCACTTCGTCATGATGGAAAGAAAATAGTTAAAAAGTCTGATACATTTTGCAACTGATGACTCTTAAGTCCCTCCGTGTTACTATAGGCAACTGGGACTGCAATATCAAATCATATGCCCATGCATGCGTGCTCACACACACAGGCAGAAATACTGGGAGTGAAATTAAATTATGCAGTTCAAATTTTTTTATTAATTGCTTTTTCCTCAAAATCTAAGGGTAAAATAAAACAAGGGAAGAACTAGTTGGGCAAAAATAGTACTTAGTGCACTTGGAGCTAAATGTAACAACACAGAATCATTGCAGAGAAGGGTTAAATCAGAAAAACAACATTGGTCCTTAATGCTCACCTGTACAAGAGAAGTCATCCACGCGGATATATCCCGGAACACAGTCACAGCGATATAACCCAGGCAGGTTGACACACACAGTATTGGCATGACAGTAATGCATCTTAGCTGCACACTCATCAATATCTGAAGGATTAAAAAAAAAGAAGCAATATCATGGTTAGTCGAATGATTAAACCAGAGTGCAATCTTCCTCCAATAAAATCAGAAAAGGTGAATACCCATTGAGACTAAAAGAAAAAGCAAGATATATTATAAACACAAAGCTCAAGTGCGAATTCAGCTGGTGTATTAGATCTCACCTTGAGCTAAAAGTACTTCAAGAAAGATTCATGGTGCAACACAACAGTTAAAAACTCAAGAAGTATGAAGACTGAATTTACTATTATTAATCCCTCATTGTGGAGAGAGCTTGATTTACATGTCCGATATCAAGTAGCTATGTGCCCAGTGAGTTGATACTAATTAATATTTATTAGGTGTCCACTCTACATGGTATAGCTGTTATCAGCAAGATCAAGGGAATCCATCCCCTCTCTGCTTATGTGTCTTACTAAGACATGCTTTAATCCATCTGTTACAAAATGATGGTGTAGCCAGTTTCTCCCATGTTATATGGTGAATATAGATAGCAGCTGTTGTCTAATGCAAATTAATGTCTTTCATCTCGACCTGGAAACCCATCCCATGTGACAGAATAATGAACTGATTCAACAAAAAGATCTTTTTCTCTTTAGAATGGAGGTCAAAGAATCACTCGCTTTCTCATAAAAGTTCACGATAATAATTAAAATAACTTATAACCTTAAATTCAGAGTTCAGTCTCTTCTGGAGTTGTTTTAAAACATGACCTTATGCTCATTATATTCGGACTGCTTATGTCTGATGGCTAGGAAAACAGAGGGATATAAACACAACACAGGAATCCAAGATAGAAAAGGTGAATTCTTGTTCTGGTTCTGTTAATTACTAGTGTATGACGTGCATTTAATGACTCTCTGAGTCCCAGGATCCTCATCGGCTTTTCATAGGGTCAGCTAGAAACCTACAGCTTTATATCTTTATATGCAATTTATATAACTTAATCCACATGCAATTCCATGAGTAATGTACAGCATTTTAAAGTCTAGAAAAATGAGGCTGAGAGAAGTTAAATATCAGGCACGAAATCATCTTATTAGAAGATGCTATCCCCAGGATTTGAACTTAGAAGTCAATTTCTTATTTACTATGATTTATTTCATGAAAGCACCTTGAAAGTGAGTCGAACATACCATTACTATTAAGATAATCACTGAAGTCCTAATACCTTTCCTTCATGTACAGAAACAGAATAAAAACAGCTACGTTGAGTCACTAGAAACCTTTTATTTATTTATTTTACAAGTACGAGTGAATTATTTTCTAATAAAATGATCCTGAAAAACATCAAATTCTCTTCAGTGCTAAAGATCTGTCAGCCTATAAAAATTCTTGTGGGGTAACTGAGGTCTTGGAAGGAGACTCACAGTTAGCAAGACTTCCATAACTATAAGAACGAAACAGCAGAAATTAGTGAAATAATTCATGCAACCAACAAAGTGTTCGATCTGCACAATACTATGCACTTCCCAAAGTGATCCAAGACAATGCATAATAAAAACAAATGAGTGACAGAAATACAAAAACTATGTAAGAGTACACTGAGGAAGGGTAAAGGGAACTCTCCCAGAAATTTGAGATAGGACAGTAACTGCACACATACATGAGATGTAGTTCAAGTCTTTCTGGCTGTCAGGGCAGTAAAACTCTTTAACGAGTTGAAACCAGGCATCATTTAAACATTTTGCTTCACAGAAGAGTGAATATTATGAAAGTCAAGACGAAACGTCCTTGAGGAAAGGAGTAATGATCACTTTTGTCTCCTGCTGCTAAGAAGTTGAAGAGATAAAGAAAGAACTAACCACTGGATTTTTGGCAAGAAGTTCACTGTTGACCTTGACCTAAATAAGAGTAGTTTGGGGAAAGTGTTGGGACAAAACCTGACTGGAGTCAATTAAAGAGAGAATGGAATATAAGTGAGTGGAGAAAGAAAAACAACGCGAACCTTTTGAGATATTTTCCCAAAAAGGAAAGTGGGGTAGTAGCTCTAGCAAGACTTTGTGATGAGAGAGTCTAGTGCAAAGACAGAAAAGATCACAGCATATTTGTATGCTTTTGGGAATGATTCAGTACCAGTGAAGAAAAATGGTGATACAGAGCAGATCACTGCAGGAGCAGTTTTAGAGAAGGCAAGAGGATCTGAGCACCAGTGTACAAATGGAGCAAAGCAAAGTAAATAACAACAAGAATGAGGCCAAAAGATAAGGGAAGAGGTGAAGATAGACTGGCATATTTGGTGATGGGAAGGCTTGTTTTTTCTCAATGAAATGAAAAAAGAAGGTAACATCTGAGAATTATGAGAAGAAAAAGGTATTTGATGTTTAAAGAGAAGGGAGTGGTGTTTATAATCATTTTGGAAAGAGGAAAAGAGAATTTAACAGAGTGTGTAGTAGGGTAGCTGAGGAGCCACTAGTGATTTGTGGTCATATGTTAAGTGAGAGCAGTCAGCATGGCCACGTGTTTTTCTCCAGTCCCATTCAGATGTCTGGGGCAAGTCCAGAGTAATTAGAAAGTTCAGTGTAATCAGAGATGAGCTTTTAGGTAAATAGATGAGTGAAAAAGAAAAAGATACAAGAGAATTCAGGGTATAAGAAAGGAGGTGATGATAACGAGGTGCCAAGGAACCTCAACAATTAAGGAGAGAAGTGAGGACGTGAAGGAGGTAGACAGTTGAAGTGAATTGGATATTATGGTGGACACTGTGCTGCACAGCCCAGACATCTCTATAGGACTAAAGAACTTATTCACGCAGCTACTGAGAATACTGCCTGCCAATAATCTTCAACTGTATAGCCTTAGGGAAATTGTCCCTAGCTGAAGAGAGATGGCCTCACACTTCCATCCTAAAGGCAACCTACAATAAAGACTGACTCTCCTTCATCCCAACTCAAGATAATTCTACCCCAGGTTCAGAGTACTCAGTAGGATTGAGCTAACTTCTACTTCTACCCATCCTGTCGCCTTTCCTTCCCCCACAGGTGTTTATCCTTATAGCACTCCCTGATAAACTTCCTTGCATGTCAGTCTCCATCTCAGAGCTTGCTTCCTGGAGAACCCAAACTGCAGCAAAAACACTGTAGAAGGCAAGAACGATACAGGGAGAGTGCTATAGTACATGAGCTGGAAAACTAGAAAATGGAGCCATAGAGTGGTGTGCTCGGCATTAAGGTTTTGGAGGTGACTTAATTATTGTGGGTTACAAGGTCTCTCACATGACTACAAAAGAGCAGAAGAGCAGACCATTATAAGTGAGAGGTTGGGAACAGCAAGAGAAGCCAGGTATCGGAGGGGGTTATTGGCATTAGTGTCATTCATCAAATATTATCAGTTCTCTTCCCTCTGGGTACGTAAAGCAACTGTACTTCCCATTCTCTTCAAAGTACGGCTATATGACTAAGCGTGAACACTAATTATCTCTCCATTAAACTCTGAGAAAGAGTGATAAACAAAATGCCATCATGGACCTCACAGCCTGGTAAACGTTGAGGCAAACTTGGTAAGTTCTACCAAGAATGTAAGACTTTTTAACAAGGGGATCTGACCTACTCATGGAGGGACAGACAAGGATTCTTTTTATTTGAGACCCGAAACAGATGTGAAACAGGTAAAAGGGAGGGAAATAACATACTCAATAAATAAGAAAGTTTGAGAAGAATTAGAGGAAGGAGTTTTGCCTATTTAAAGTGAAACTAGAACTATAAACTCGGGCCAGATCCTGCTGGGCCTGGTAGGACACGTGAAGGAGTCTGGACTTTAATTGGTGTAGTGACACCATCCAATTTCTGTTTTTAAAATATCACTCAGCTGTAGTGAAGAGAATGGATTGGAGCAGGGCATGCTAAAGGCTAAATCATGTTGCTATTTTACTCACAGAGATAGAGCCATACTGAACTCCATCTCATTCTGTTGAGATGCCCAGACATTCTTTAAGATGAGAAACTAGTCAGGACTTGCCTTAGAGGCAATTCAGTTCTTCAACCCATGAGCCATAGCTTCCAATGAAGCTGCTGACTGCAATGAATGTGTCCCTATCATGGACCCTGTCAGCTCCCCCAAATGGAAAGCCCTAGCTCATTTCCCTTAGGCCACTGGATAAGTGCCGAGAGGTGTTTGCCTCATCTAGATTTGAAGGAGTTACTTGGCTATAACAAGTTTATTTTAATTCCAGCAGCCGAGCCATTTCCTTGTTTCATAGAATTCTAAGGCCTTGGATAAAAGTAGTTTCAAAAACCGGACATGGGAATGGTTAGAATAAACCCAGTGAGAATTTCTCAGACAGATTTATCCAACTCTTGCTCTCCACAAGTCACCCAGACCCCCTGGCCATATATCCCTGCTGTTCTGCTGATGTGTCTTTGAGAAGGTTTTGTCTTCAGTTCTTACCACTGGTAATTTCAGCTCTTGCATATCTGATAATTTCCTGGTAGCAGTTCAGAAAAAGACAGCACCAAAATAAAGCAGAAAAGTTGACAAATGTACCAGAAAATTAAACTGTCACAACCTTATCTTTGTTGCTTATCCCCTATCGTGCAAACCCCAGATATAAAAACTACTTCTTGGTATAAATGAGGAGGAAAGAAATTAAAGTGTTTGAAGTCATCCAGCTGAGCCCCTGGAGAAAAGATACTGGAAAAAAGTAGGAACTGACAACTTCCCTGGTTTCTGGATGGTGATGGGGTGTCGGGGAGGAGGGAAGGCGGGGGACGAGGGACAAGGGCGGGCAGGCG